TGAGCTCACTTTGTAGCCCAGGTTGGTCTTGAACTCACAACAATCCTCCTGCCACAGCCTCCCAAGTGCTGGAATTACAAGTGTGTGCCACCACGCCTAGCATCTTGTAGTTATTTTACTGATGTTCAAATTGTCCCATCTTTGCCCAAGAGCCTTTTGTGTGTGTGTATGTGTGTGTGTACCAGGAATTGAACTCAGGAACTTGCGTTTGCCAGGCAGGCACTTGTGCCACTAAGCTATATCCCCAGCCCAAGAGCCATTTTTAAAATTTGTGTCTTCTTTGTCTTTTTAACCTATACTTTGTGGTCTTTCTTTGATTTCTGGTGTGACAGGATTAAACAACCACACATCCTGCTCCATGGCATTTCCATTGGATTAGCATTACAAGAAATCTAGAGAGGTTTTAAACTCTGACATGGGCTCAGTCTTTATGCCATTTTAAAATATCACACCCTAAAAGCCAGGTGGAGGATGAAGCAAATGTTCAGGCTGAAGTGCAGAAAGATGAGGCAGACAGAGGTCGAAGTAAATTGCATTTGTGCACCCAAGAAGGCCAAAGGAGCGGAAATAAGAAACACCAGAGGCTGGGCTCTCAGTGGTTCTGATCACCTAGATCACTCTTGAGAGGCCCACCTGACTCCTACCAAACTGTCTGTTTTTCCTTTGCTGTAAACTGGTGACATTCGGGACTAGTTCTGTTCTCAAGTGTGGCCAAGTGTAACACATGTGCAAGAAATCAGCTGCTATCCCACCTGAAGAATCAAACATGGGAAAAAAATAAAAAGTACATGGGAGGATGATGGATAGGTTATAGGCAAATAATGCCATGTCATATAAGGGACCTGAGCATCTAGGGACTTTGGAATCAAGGCTAGGGTTCCTGGGACCAATTTTCCAAAGATAGCAAGGACCACTTATAGTGCTCAGGAACTACTAGAATATTCAGGTGTGACTGTTCCACTTGGATGTTGGATATTCCGGGCTGGAGTTCCAAAGAGCCATCTGGACTGGAGAATAGATTTGGGAGTGAGCAGTACAGATAATAAAGGCTCTGGAAATGGATAAAGTTTCCCAGATATAAGGTTTAGGAAAGAATCCTCAGAGACACTATCATCAAAGGGTATTTTAAAATTCTGTTATCGGGCCAGGGATGTAGCTCAGTGGCGCAAGCGCCTGCCTGGCAAGCACAAGGTCCTGAGTTTGATTCCCGGTACCACCAAAAAAAAAAAATTCTGTTATTTTTGGAGTAAGGGTTTACAAAGGAAACAATTCAATACAGGACACATAATTTATAGGGTTATTTTATAGTAGTCACCCAGAGTCAAGTACAAAAGAGTGTAGGAAATCTATCCACAAAGACCCAAAGAATCCAGCTGAGGGCCTGCATCCCACAGCACTGTCCTGTATGAATCCCACTGAAAACCTACAGCCCACGACAATGCACCCCCATGAGTCCAACTGGAGACCTAGAGCCCACGGCAATGTCTCACACAAGTCTGTTTCACTGATCTGTGTCAGGAAGGCCCAAAAGTCAGTGGTGGATGCTAGAAAGTCTGTGCCAGTGGAATGAAGGATCTGTGCCGGCAAGCTGAAGGGTTGGCACTGGAGCCAAAAAGTGACATTCAAAGTAAGAACCAGAGTTCCCCCGAAAAGTACCATAGCCATCCTCAGCAACAGTGAGGTCCCGAGCTCCTCTAACAGTTACAGCCAAGTTCATACCAGGAAAGCCAACTCGACAAGCTTTCTCCAGAACATTGAACAGTGCACCATCTTTCCCTCCAGAGCCAGGAAATGATGCTCAGAGTAAGGACCAGAGCTCCCCCAAAGTGAACCACAGCTATTCTCAGCAACAGCAAGGTCCCAAGCTCCTCTGATGATAATAGCTGAGTTCATAGCAGGAAAGCCAGCATGACAGGCTCCTCCAGGAGAACCAACAGCCCCCTTCTTCCTCTCCAAGTCTCCTTTTTATGTTGGCAACAATCCCCAGGTGGGCCCTCCATACCCAGCACCCCACTGGTTCAGGTCAGCTGGATATGTTACAAGTTACCTACCAGTTGTCAATCCACCACAGATATTGTCATGTTTTACCATGAGAAGCCTGAAGCTTAGAAAAGTTAACTTGTCAATATGAAGCAGATTTGAGAGTGAAGCCTAAACATGTGACCTTCCAAACTCAGTGCTCCTTTGTATATCTCAAAGCACTTTACATACCTCATGCTTAATAGTTAAAATAAATTTATTATTATTAAATTTTTTGAGACAGGATCTATGTAGTTCAGGCAGGCCTTGAACTCCCTGTGTAGCCCAGGCTGGCCTTGAACTTTTGGTCTTCCTGCCTCAACCTCCCAATTGCTGGGATTACAGGCATGTGCCACCATGCCTAGCTTAATAGTTAAAATCTTAATTTGTTTCCTCATTTGACTTGATAATGTAAGAAGGTATGTAATGGGAAAAGTTATGCATGAGATGGCTGTAACAGTTGTGGACTTAACCTGCTTGGTTTGGGGAGTGATTGTACACATCCCTGCAATTTGTATTTCAGAGTTGAAGTGAGAATAGTTGTTTATCACTGAATGTTTTTTGTATTCATGCCCTTCAATCAAGAGGTTATATGGTAATAATAAAAAAAAGTGAATTTTGTTTACATTTCACTGGTTTTTTTAGTGCTGGGGAGTGAACCTAGGGCCTTGCGCATACTAGGTATGCACTCTGCCACTGAGCTACATCCCTAGCCCCAGAGCCTTTAGAGGATTTTGTTTTTATTTATTTATTTATTTATTTATTTTTGGTACCGGGAATCAAACTCAGGACCTTGCACTTGTCAGGCAGGCGCCTGTGCCACTGAGCTATATCCCCAACCATATCCCCAACCCAGAGCCTTTAAAACAATTTTTTTGGGGGCCCGGTTGGTCACGGAGGTGCAAACTCGTAATCCCAGCACTCGGAGGCTGAGAGAGTAGGATCACTAGTGCAAGGCCAGCCTGAGTTAGATACATAACAAGATCCTCTCAAAAATTTTTTTTTTAAATTTAGTGATGGCCTATGTATACACTAATGTTGAGAGGTATCTGCCTTTCAACTTACATCAGTGCGAGTAGAGTTATTGTAAAGACATCCCTAAACTTCTAATTTTTTTCCCGATATGAACTTTATTTACACTGTACCCACATACCTCCCTCAGGGCGAAGCAAGAAAGACATTGCAAGAGGTGGCACTGCCGGTGATGCAGACTCTCGAGGTCAGCATCACTTCCATGGCCACGGTTGCTATGGTGACCAGAGTCCCTTTCCATTGGTCACTGCCGCATATTGCGGTTGCCTTGGCGGATTTTATTGGTTACCGTTCCGGAGGGCCGTAAGTGAAAGTGTCGCAAAGGGGAAGGAAGGCGGGAGTCTGGACTGCGAGGAGTGAGGCAGCCCAAGTGGTGGAGGCCGTTATGGCGAGTGCTCCGAGCGCCGAGGTACGTGAGAAATTCCAGGCGGCGCTGGCTTTGTCGCGGGTGGAACTGCATAAAAACCCGGAGAAGGAGCCGTACAAGTCGAAATACAGCGCCCGGGCGCTGCTGGAAGAGGTCAAGGCGCTGCTCGGCCCCGCGTCCGAGGACGAGGATGAGCGGCCGCAGGCCGACGACGGCTCGGGCGCCGAGGACCACGCCCTGGGGCCGCGGGCCGACGCGGTGGAGGCCGAGGGCCCGGGCGCGCAGAGCGCGGTGAGGCTGGCGGTCATCGAGTTCCACCTCGGAGTGAACCACATCGACACTGAGGAGCTGTCGGCGGGGGAGGAGCACCTGGCCAAGTGCCTGCGGCTGCTGCGCGGGTACCGGCTGTCGCCCAGCTGCGTGTCGCTGAGCATCCAGGCGCAGGTGAGAGCGCGGGCGGGCTGGCAGCGGGGCGGCGCGGAGAGCCTGTGAGAAGGACTGACTGATTGCCTTGAAACTGGATCTCGCACCTCGGCTTCCAGACTCTCCGCCCCCAGCGCCCACTCCCTTACCCGAGGGGCGACACGCTGGTTTCCCCGATTCCTGCTTTGTAATGCGCTTTCCAACGCCTTCCCACAGGCCCAAATCGTGTTGAGCTTATTAACAAAAAGTCCAGCCGGTCGTGGTGTCGCGCGCCTGTAATCCCAGCACTCGGGAGGCTGAAGCCGGAGGATCATTGCGAGTTCGAGACCAGCCTGGGCTACCAAGTGAGCTCATGGCCAGCCTGAACTGCATAACGAGACCCTGCCTCAAAAAGACAAACAAAAAACAAAACAAAAGTCCAGGCTCTCCGCCAAGTACTGGGGGAAGTCCTAGTTCTATACATTGCAAAATATACAGTAAAGAAGTTATAAATTTTAGAAAACTTAAAATAGAGCCGGGCATGATGGTGCACAGGTGTAATCCTAGTATTTGGGAGGCTGAGGCAGGAGGATCGCATATTCGAACCTAACCTGGGCATTTGGCGATTTAGCAAGACCTACTCTCAAAAAAATAAAAGGGCCAGCTGGTCGCGGTGGTGCATGCCCGTAATTCCAGTACTTGGGAGGCTGAAGAAGGAGGATCTCGGCCAGTTTGAGGCCAGCTTGGGTTACATAGTGAGTTAAAGGCCAGCCTGAACTACAGAGACTTTGTCTCAAAAAACTAAAAATAAATAAATAAAAATAATAAAAGGGCCTGCGGAGGTAGCTCAGAATGAAGGCTCTGAGTTGAGCTCCAGTGGCAGAAAGAAAGGCAAAAACAAAACAACAGAAACAAAATTAAAATAGATAAGCTGGGCATGGGGGCCTACATCTGTAATCCCAGCACTCAGGAGGCTGAGGCAGGAGGATGGTTGCGAGTTCGAGACCAGCCTGGGCTACAAAGTGAGCTGAAGGCCAGCCTGAACTGCCTAGCAAGACCTTGTCTCAAAAAGAAAAAAAAAATTAAAACAGATAAAAATATAAATCACCATTTGTATGTGTGATCGTTATATACCTATAAACCTAAAGTTATTGGCCAAAAAACGATGAGAATTGAGTTCAAAGAAAAATGTATAATATCAGTAGTATTCCTGTATAGAAGATTGGTGTGAGTTCGAGGCCAGCCTGGGCTGCATAGTTCAAGACCAGTCTGAATTACATAGCAAGACCCTGTCTCAAAAAAAAAACAAAACAAAACGTTCCTGTATATAAGCCATTACTGATAAAAATTTTATAGGAATTTTACATTCATAATAAGGGTATTGATAATAAGGGTTCTATTAACTAAGGTTAATAGAATTTATTACTAATTTTAAAAACATTCTGAATAGTAAGATTAAACATGAAAATATCATTTTCCTGCTTCATTTGTGTCATTCCTGCTGAAATACAGGCTTTTGTTCCTTAGAAATTGACAAAATGAATGTGTTTGTCTGAAATAATAAAGAAAAATAAATAGAAATGAATGAAAAGAAATGTAATCATCATTACTAGCCTACCAAGTGCTAAAACAGTAGCATTATGACAATTTAATCAGATGGTATTTGTCCTAGTTTGCTTCTGACAGTTCTCTTCTGCTAGTGCTATTCCACTGGCAGCTCCACACTACATAGTACTTAATTACATGTTTACTACAGATAAGAGATTTAACCTCCTTAATAAAAGAAAAACTGAAAGAGTAAACATAAAAACTGTATGAGGATAGAGATGATTAAAGATACTACACTCAGTGTTGCAGAGTCTGACAAAATGGGTGCTATCACTTACTGCTGGCGGAAATGTAAATTCATAGAACCTTTTTGGAGCTCAGTATGTATCAAGACCTTGACTTAAAAATTCCACGTCAGTGTTTAGAAGTTAACTTGGGACAGATGGGTACTCCATTGCTGATCATTAAAAAAGGAAAGTAATATAAATAAATATCAGTAAGGTTATGCTTAACTAATTTCTGCTGCATCTATACAAAACTGCATGCAGTTATAAAAAATAATGATTTATATGTGTTAACAAAAATTATCAGCCAGGTGCACAGTGTGTCTCTATAGTCCCTGCTATGGGAGGCTGAGGCAAGAGGATTGCTTGAGTCCATTTTAAGGCCAGCCTGAGTAAGGTAATGAGATTGTGTCTCAAAAGAAAGTCAGCATTAAGAGGGAAAGAGAAGACTATTAGGCATTTTTTAGAATTATGTAGAAAGATTCTATTTATTTTTAATTTTTTTTGATACCGGGAATTGAATTCAGGATCTTACCCTTGCCAGGTAGGTGCTTGTGCTGCTGAGCTATATCCCTGGCCCTGAAAGATTCTATTTTTGTATAAGATTATATATATACACACACATATATACATATCTAAGAAGTTTATATATGTATAACATGTATATAAATATACATGCGTGTATATATTTATACACATATATGAAAAAGCTTGAAAGCATCACTTCATGGGAATTTGAGTCTTTTTTGTTTATTTTACGGTACTAGGGATTGAACTCAGAGCCTTTTGCACTGAGCTACATTCTAACACACCATACCCTTTTTTTTTTCCATACCCTTTTTTTTTTTTTTTTTTTTTGGTTTTTCTCCGGTAGCGGGAACCGAACTCATGACCTTGCGCTTGCCAGGCAGGCGCTTTGCCGCTGAGCTAAATCCCCAGCCCCTCCATACCCTTTTTAAAATTAAGTTTTGAGACAGAGTCTCACTAAATTGCCAGGTTGGCCAGATTGGGCTCCAATTGACAATCCTCTTGCGTCAGCCTCCCATAATGCCAGGATTACAGGTATGTACCACCATACCTGGTGAAGTTATGATATATTCTAATTTGTCTCAATCTGTCCTCTTGGGAAGCTATAGAACCTGGACATACATTAGATTATTAAAAGAGACTTCCTTTATATTAACTTCACTGTTTTCTGGGAACCTTAGGAGTATTTTTCTTTTATATTTCTTCTGATCCTTGCTGTGGTAATATACCATCTTGTCAGCATTACCATCTTGATTACTTTGCTTTAGTAAAATTTCCTAAAAATTAGATTACTCATCCACCTCCTTATATATGAACTATATGAATACTTTTCATTTCATTGCTGTCATTGTTTACAGTTGATTGAGGTGCAGTTGACATACAATAAACTGCATATAATTTGAAGTGTACAGTTTGATGAGTCTTGGTAATATGTATGTCTGTGAAACAGTTGCTGTAAGTTTCCTTGTGCCCCTCTGTAATCCCTCCTTTTCTTCTCTCTTCCCCTCTGTAATCCTCTTTTTTCCTCTCTTCCCCTCAGCCCAAATTTTGTAGAGTTTCATGTGAATGGAACCATACCATATACATTGTTGTGGTTTTCTTTCATTCTGCATTGTTTCTGGTTTGGTTTGTTTTTTGGTTTTTGTGATACTAGAGATCTGAGGCTCACACTCAGGTTTGCTCTCCCACTGTGTTACATCCCCAGCCCTTTTCATTGCAGACAGAGTCTTGTTAAATTGCCCAGGTTGGCCTTGAACTTGAGATCCTCTTGCCTCAGCCTTTTGAATAGCTGGACTTACAGGTATGTGCCAGCACACCCACCATTACTTCATCTTTAACCTTACTGAGATGAGATGATCATATTTTTTCCTGTTTAGTCTGTTAACTTGGTAAAGTATATTAAGTTTTCAATGCAGAACTCACCCTGTATTCCTGGGATATTTGGTGAGAATATCCTTTTTATACATTGTTGAACTCTCTTTGCTAAACTTTGGTTTAAAATTTTTGCATCTATATTTAAAAGGTTGTGTTTGTTATATTTTTGGTTTAATATGAGATAGGAAAGTGTTTAGTCTTTTCTGAAAGAGTTTGTGTAGAGCTGATTTTATTTCTTCTTACATGTTAGGTAGAGTTCACCCCCGATACTTTTTTTCTTCTTTTTTTTTTTTTGGTCGTTTTGAGACAGCGTCTTGCTATGCAGTTCAGGTGGGCCTTCAACTCACTTTGTAGTCCATGCTGGCCTCAAACTCACAGCAGTCCTCCTGCCTCAGTCTCACAAGTGCTGGGATTACAGGTGTGCACCACCACACCCGGCCATCCCAATACTTTTTAAGCTTTTTTTTTTTTTTTTTACTTTTTCCCATCTAGTTTGGTGTGAGGCCAAGAACACAATATGTGAAAGATGCAGCACTTTCTGGTGGTATTGCTTTTCCTTTCTTTTCTTTTTTGGTATTGTTTCTCTACCTTTAGAATTCATATTGTTAAAATAACCCACACTGGCTCACACTGGTTGGGAGTGTAGCTCGGTGTTGGAATATGTGCTTCACACATACCAGGCCCTGGATTTCATCTGCAACCCCCTCTTTGCCACTGACATAAAATGGCAGCAGTGGTTGTTTCTGTGGAGTCAACATTGCAACCCAAAGCTAAAGGTAATTTAATTTTAAAAACAGTCAAAACTGTCCTAGCTCTCTACTTGTCTTTGTTTGTTTTTTTTTTAGTTTAGTTTTTTTCCGGTACCAGGAATGTACTCATGACCTTGTGCTTGCCAGGCAGGCGCTGTGCCGCTGAGCTAAATCCCCAGCGCCTCTACTTGTCTTTACCTCAAGACCTTAATCGTCCAAAAGAAGAATCTTAGTAATTTCTGACCATGCTGTAGGTCTCTATTTGGTTTAAGATTTATCACACACTGGAGTAGTTGCTTTTTATGGCATAGCCTACCCTGGATCTAGCGGTCAAATATATCCCTATTCCAAAATAGAGTGTGACTAACTCCTCTTGGCCACTAGGTGAGTCTCTAGAGCAGTGATGGCAGGCAAACCCTTTACAGATGAGTGCCCAGACTGCAACCCATAACCCACTTGTTTATGGCAAAGTGCCAGCACTGCAGTTAAACTGGAATGCTGAGGTCTGGCTTAGAAAAAACAACTCTACATTAGCATCTTTTGTCTTAAAAACAAATAGCACACTGCCATTGGTTTGCCACCACTGGTAGACTATCTGGAGTAGCTGTGACAGTGTGTTGGGAGTGATGGACTCACTCCTGTCATGCCTAAGTGGAGTTTCTCAAGGACTTACATCATCAAATGAAAAATAAATTGAAGTAGGGATGGAGGAGAAGGTGACTTGTCGATCTATCTCTGAGAAAGACAGTCATTAACTTAGGAGGGACGCAGAGCCTGTCAAACTTTCATTACTTCTGAAGGTCCTGGAAAGGGCTTCAGGAATAACACAGACTGGAGAGCTGCCCAGTGTCACTACGATTTCAGTGTGACTTGCAATCCAAGATACCCAGGGCTACTTAAAAAGTTGGAGTGAAAAATAAATATATGGCATGAATATATTATGTGGATCAAATATATATATAATGTGAAGCCGGATGATCAAGCAGCTTGTTCCAGTGGAATGATCGAGTCGCTTTTAAACTATAGAGTTTCTAAACCTTCATTGCACTACATGCCCCTTCGGCAGTCTGATGAAGGCGATATTTCATAAAATAGTAAAGATGGTAAGTGCATCAAATGAAATATATATGGTTACAAAAAGAAATCAATAATATAGAAGTATAGCTACCAAAGTTTTTTTTTTTTTTTTTTTTTTTTGGTTTTGGTTTTTTGGTTTTGTTTTGTTTTTCTTCTGGTACCAGGAATTGAACTCACGGCCTTGCATTTGCCAGGCAGGCACTGTGCCGCTGAGCTAAATCCCCAGCTTGCTTTTTTTGTTGTTGCTGTTGTTGTTGTTGTTGTTTGTCTTTTTGAGGCAGGGTTTCACTGTGCACTTCAGTCTGGCCTTGAGCTCACTTTGTAGCCTCAAACTCAGAGAGATCTTCCTGCCTCAGCCTCCTGAGTGCTGGTATTACAGGTATGAGCCACCATGCCCGGCTTTTATTTTTTATTATTTATTTATTTGGGTTTTTTTTTTTTTTTTTTTTTGAGACAGGGTTGGCCTTGAACTCACATGTAGTCCAAGCTGGCCTTAAACTTGTGGTTCTCCTGCCTCAGCCTCCTAAGTGGTGGGATTATAGGTGTGTGCACCACCTTGGTTGGCCAGAATATTTGAAAAACTAATGTGTGGCTCAGATTGGTGGCACATGCTATGGTCCCAGCTACCTAGGTGGCTGAGGTAGAAGCTCAGGAGTTCCAGACTAATCTGGGGGACAAAGTAAGAGCTTGTCTCAAAAAAAAAGCATACATATATATATTACTGGGGTGTCAACACAGGGCCTTTTCACTAAGCTGTATCTCCAGCCATTTTTATTTTTTGAGGCAAGGGTCTTACTAAGTCACTAAGTTGCCCAGGTTGGGTTTGAACTTGGTGTCCTCTTACCTCAGCCTCCCAGAGTAGTGGGATTATAGGCCTGTACCACCCCACCTAGTTTATATGGTTCTTTGTTGATGTTGAACAACAATATCCATGTACTTGATAATTCTAATGGTGAGCATAAATAGTATTTTGAGAAATCTGCCAACTAGCATAAGATGAAGATAGTCTTTTCATTTCTATTGTTCTCAAGTCCCAAGTACTGTAGTATGGCTGCAGTTTGTTTCCCATATTGCTAATCAGAAGAAATGCTGAATTTTAGATCAGTGGAAATAAATTTGTGATTTTTTTTTTTCTCTATCCAAATTCATAGGTTCTGAATTCTCTGTGGATTCCTTGGAGGTCCATAGCCCCGAGGTTAAACATCTCACCATTAACAACTAATTCTTGATCCCATTCACTTTCCCAGGGAAGTGAGAGAGGATGGTGGAAGCAAAGCTCAGAGGCATCCTGTGTGGAGGACCATCCCTAGGGTGTGAGGCAGTGTAACCCCGTTGTCTAATGGGGAGCTAGGCCTCCAGTACTGAGTTCTGACCCTCACAACAGGCCTGGTTTGTGCTGCAGAGCCTGATCAGAGACTCACGCAGCAGGGGACAAACTGTCACGGTTTAAACCTGTTATCAGGATAGAATCCCACATCCACTCAGCTTCACTTCAGCCTTCGTGGTAGCAGAAGAAAGTTGGTACAGTGGAAATGAAGAGATCAGCACAAGAAAAGACACAGAAGAAAGAAGAATCAATGACTTGTCAGGATATGATAATAAAACTACATTTTAAGAACTCTCTGAAAATACATGTTTTATTGTTTCTTTTATTATGTTTTGTTTTTAATTTTTGAGAAGGGTCTCGCTATGTAGTCCCGACTGGCCTTAGCGCAGTCTGGCCTCATACTTGCGGCAGTCTTCCTCCCTGAGCTTCCCGGTGCTGAGATTACATTACCACCACACCTGGCTTTATGTTATTGTTTGAAATGATAAACGTTAGGAATCTGACTTAACTGACAAGAAAAGACATACAGCTTCAGAAATTTAACACCATGACTTGAATTGTAACTGTAGAGAATGTTTCTTTTTTAAGAGAGGTTTTTTAAAGCTTTTGTAAATAAGGCAGGGAAGAGAGGTTGAAGGAAGGGTAGGGGAATGGGGGAAATTAAGTTACATATAGGTACAAATTCCCTATGATGAATGTGATCATTATGTATACCTCAACTATACCAGTAAACTTAATTAAAAATAAATAAAAGGTTTCTGCAGGAGATTATAGGATTTTGAAAACATGTTTCTGGTTCATCTTTGTCTCTGCTACCTCTGGGATGTCAGTTTGGCTCAAAGCCTTGTCTGTTGTAAGTCACTTGTGCCACGCCAGCTCCTGCTGTCTCTGGCTCAGAGTTCTTTCTTAGTTGTTCACCTGCCATGGCTCACTTGAAGACCAGACTGGGGGTTCCCCACCTCCAGCTGACCCACATCTTCGTTGCCAAGATTTAGTTCCTCACAGACTTTTGTCCAGGGATCTTAGACTGTTGACCTCCTCGGTTCCTTTCCGCCTGGGTCTCTGCACAGGTTGGCTCACAGCATGGTGGCTGGCTTCCTGCAGGGGGAGGAAGAGGGAATGTGCGATGGTTGCTGCAGGGTTTCGTACCCTAGTTGTAGAAGTTGACCTTCCTTCACTTCTCCTAACGGTGTTCCTTAAATCCGACTCACCATATCCAGTCCATACGCCAGGGGGAGGGTTACCAAGGGCATAGATACCAGAGGCTGGGATTGTTGGGGTCCATCTTAGTGGCTACCATACTGTATATGGTTAAGATTATTATGAGTAGTTCATCGTTAATCAGACCCGAACATTGTTTGGTAAATACTGACTTTGAAACTATGAAAGTTACTTTAATTCATCTTGTATCATCATGTGTTTTTTTATTTTTTTATTTTCCAGAATAACTTGGGTATTTTATGGTCTGAAAGAGAAGAAATTGAAACTGCTCAGGCTTACCTAGAGTCATCAGAAGCACTATATAATCAGTACATGAAAGAGGTATGGTACATGTTGTAAAATTATAACTTTGATTGCAATTAGTCAAGAATCAGTATACCCTGAGGATAGAAGAGAAAGCATAGCGCTCTCCAGGAAGACTGCTTTCTTGTGAGACCAGACTGCACTGACAGGAAAAGAAAATCAGTATAAGTGGGGCGTATTGATGCAGGCCTGCAACCGTAGCACTCTGGGTGGCTAAGGCAGAACTTAGAGCCCAGCCTGGGCAATTTAGCAAGACTGTGTCTCAAAATAAAAATGGACTGAGGATGTAAGCAAGGGCAAAGGCCCTGGGTTCAATCCCCAATGCCACAAAAAAAAAAACAACCAAAAAAAAAACCAAGAACAGATATAAGATTCCCCATTCATACCAGGTGGCTGAGGCAGGGTGATTACTGTGAGTTCAAGGCCAGGCTGGGCTACAGAGTGAGTTCAGAGCCAGCCTGAACTGCATAGTGGAACCCTGTCTCAAAAAGACCAAACAGAAAAAGATTCCTTGTTCAAAATATTGCTGTGACTCGTCAGTGTAACTAGCAATTTCTCTATATAGCTGTCTAGAAGATACCTAATAGCTGAATTATGTATATAGATAATTTTGGGTCTGGCATGGTGGCACAGACCGGTAATTTCACCCTCTGTTCTCCCCGCTTACTCTGTTTTGGCTGCACTGGGCTCCTGGCTAATCCTAAAACACCCTGCGAGCCCCAGCCTGGGCTCTGCCTGGGATGCTGTCCTCAAACATCTGTGTAGCTCTCTCCCTCAGCCCTGCAGGTCTCCACTCCAGTGTCTCCTTTCAGATGGGGCCTCGAGGTCACCCCCGCAACACGCAAACCACCCTTCCCAACACCTCTGATGCCCTTGTTCTGATGGTTCTCATTCACACTTGTCTTGGTTACTTTTTTCTCGCTGCTGGGACAAAATACCTGACGCCCAAAATTAAGGAAGGAAAGGTTTATTTCGCTTACAGTTTGTGGAAGTTTTAATCCGTACTTGGCAGATTATAAGGCACAGTGGCACATGGCAAAGAGCTGCAGCTCAGGACGGCAGAATACAGCTAAGCTGCAAGCACACACCAGGGCAGAATGGGGGAGGAATGTCCTCAAGCACTCTCTTCCTCTCCCTTACATATGTAAACTATCCACCCCAGGGTGGGTGTAGCTCTCACACCCACAATCATTCAACTCTAATAGCCTGCCCATGGTCTCATGAGGCTTTGGAGGGGACACACAGACATAAACCATAACAACACGGAACACTAATGTGCATTTTAGTGATTTGTCTGTCACCGTCTTGGTTACTGGAGTGTAAGCTTTAGGGCAGCAAGGATGTTCCCATGGTGGTAGTCACTGCTTTCTGCAGCTAGAGCAGTGCCTCTGCCTGAGGTAACTAATGATGTCACACTTGGTCCATCCAGATACGCACAAAGCATAACAGTATTACTAGATGTGAATGTATTAGTAAATCAAATGTAGAATTGCAGCTTAAAAATGTAAATCAAGTTTAGTTGGAAACGTATAATTTTTGTTTGGTTTCATACTTGGTTGTTACTAATCAATAATGTGGAATAAAAATATTTTTAATATTTCATAAAGCTTACTTAGTGGCAGAAATTAGAATATTGTTAAACTGGGTGTGGTGGCACGTGCCTGTAATCCCAGCACTCAGGTGGCAGAGGCAGGATGATTTCTGTGAGTTCGAGGCCAGCCTGAACTGCATAGTGAGACCCTGTCTCAAAAAAGACAAAAGAAAAAGAAGAAATTAACCTTTTCTTAGAATATTGTTTTAAAAATCTATTGCTACATTTAAGGTGGGGGGATATAGGCAAACTTGAAGAGAGGATATGTGTATTCTAGTTTCACTTGTGATCATAACTAGCTGCTTTACTAGCAGAAACTCAAACTTTCTATGCCAGCTAGTTATCTGTGAGATGGAAATGACTCACTTATCACCACAACACAGAAATAATAGAGAAATATTGTGAGAATCCAATAATAAAATAGGTAAGGAAAAGTCATAGAAAATGCACATGTCTTGTAATCGTAAAATAGACGTCTAAGTTGGGGCCGGGGATATAGCTCAGTGGCACAGTGCCTGCCTGGCAAACGCAAGGTCATAAGTTCAATTCCTGGTACCAAAATAACCCGGCTAAGTCAACTGTGATATACTAACAAAAGGGAATAGGCTATAATCATTGAAATTGTAAATACTTGGATCATCCGTACAGGGGAAATATATACACGGTACCTCTATACATACTGATTATAACCGTAAACATTTTTCCATGATAAGGCAAAGCAAATGTGAACTAGATGATTAGGTGAGCTAATGAAAACTAACATGTTAGTTTTAAAAGATGTAGCTAATAGCTTGGTATGGTGGCACACGCCTGTAATCTCAGTTATTCAGGAGGCTGAGGCAGGAGGGTCCTAAGTTTAAGGCCAGTGTGGGCAATTTAGTGAAATCCTGTCTTAAAAAGGGCTGGGGATATGGCTCAGTGGTAGAGTCCCCCATGGGTTCAATCCCTAGTGTTAAAACATCCCCCCCAATAAGATATAACTAATAAAAACTAACATTCAGTATGTGCTTAAACAGATCACATTTTATTTGTACAGTACTGTGAAGTAGCTATTCTCAGTTATGGTTATGGATTTGGTGATTCAGGAGCATTAGCATATGATATATGGGTTTAAATCTGGTTTGTTTAACCCCAGACTCGTGTTCTTTCTATTCTACAGTGCTGTCTTAAGTAGTATAGTTAGTTATGGCATTAAGGTAAAGAGATTTTTTTTTTTAATTGCTCAAACAGAAGAAGAAAGAAAAAAATTACTCTGTAGTAGTTGCTAGTCCAGGGTGTGCTTAAGAGACAAAATTTTGTGTCAGAGCAATACTTTATTTCATAAACACAGTACTTAGAATACTTACAGGCACTGTTATATATGAATTATAAGTATTAACTCATTTAGCCCTCATAACAACTTTGTTAAATGGGTACTATGTATTTTATAGATGAGAAAATAGAGATACCAAAGGTAAGGGCCTTATCGAGAACCCACCATAGGAGTAAATCTGGGATTTCAGTCTGCATGATTTGGCTTCAGGACCCATAGGTTTTGTGTGACTGTGTGTGACTGTGTGTGTGTGTGTGTGTGTGTGTGTGTATGATTGAGGACTGAACCCAGGGCCTTTACCCTGAGCTATATCCCAGTCTTTTTTTTTTTTTTTTTTTTTTTAAATTTTTACTTTGTATTTTGAAACAGGGTCTTACTAAGTGGCGCAGGCTGGGCTCAAACTTGTAATCCTCCTGCCTCAGCCTGTGAGAGTGTTGGAATTACAGGGGTGTGCCACCATGATGCCCAGGTCAACCCATACTTTTAATTACTGTTTTTTCCTCTTTTACCTAATGGGTGAACTTGGTCTAAAATACAAGCATGAGGCATTCCTCAAGGCATGTGTAATTAGTGGAGCCTTGGAGCTACACCAAAACTGTGATGGCAGAGAAAAGCAGCAGCTATAAGCAGAGCAGTTAACAGAGCATTCCTATTTGCTCTGCCGGTTTAATTCACTAGAAATTAGTGTTTTTACTGTGTACCAGGCATTGTGCAAAATGCAAAGGAGTCTGTTGAGGATAAAATCTGCTTTCTATCCATAACAAGCTCTTTCCCCCGGGGATAAGAAGTGTTAATTGTGCCCACATGGAGTTTTCGAATGTATGTTCAGAGTGTGTGTTTTATAGGGCCTTAACACCCCCCCACCCCCACCCCCTTGGGAATATCCCCAAGTTAGAGAATTTTTTCATTCATGGCTCTAAAAGCAAATTGGATTGTTTTCCTATTTCAGGCTTAACTGAAACAGCAATTGAATTTTTGTAAAATGTGAACTTTTAGGTAACTTCTATTTGTTTGACTCTTGTATTTTATGTTTAAGAAAATTACTTCTTGGGTGACATGAAAGTGAACTTGGAAAAAATGGAATGTATTGTGCTTTTAAAAGTTGACTTCTCCCAGATGAGGTGACGCACACCTGTAATCCCAGCACTCAGAAGCTGAGGCAGGAGGATCTCGAGTTTGAGGCCAGCCTGTTCTTCATACTCAAAATACAACAAAAATAAAGAAAAAGAAAAGTTGACTTGTCGGTTCCTCCAGAAGAGGGCACCTGGTGTTCAGAGTTTAACATTTTAAATGTTTTTGTTTAATCACAGATTGGGAGTCCTCCTCTTGATCCTACTGAGCATTTTCTTCCTGAAGAAGAGAAAATTACTGAGCAAGAGAGATCAAAAAGGTTAGTAAGGATAGATTCACAGGTATTTCCACAGAACATAGACAAGGTGATTGTCTGAAAAGCTTTGTGTTTGCTGTTTGAGGCACCTAAGGTTACAGAGCACGGATTCCGATGTGAGTAAAACCTCCGTTTGCCACCTGATGAGTTATGTGGCCTCGTTCATACTTGAGTTTCTTCATCTATCAAACAGATACAAGAACCAAAAACAACTCAAAGTGTTGGTGGGAGACTCAAGATAAATATATGTGGAATTTACTTAGAAATTGTAAACCATCATCCAGATACTGATTTTTCTTCTTTGCAGATTTGAGAAGGTTTATACTCATACCCTGTACTACCTGGCCCAGGTCTACCAGCATATGGAAATGTTTGAGAAAGCTGCTCATTATTGCCACAGCACACTGAAACGCCAGCTGGAGCACAATGCCTACCATCCTATGGAGTGGGCTATTAATGCTGCTACCTTGTCGCAGTTTTATATCAATAAGGTAAACTTCTCAAAGTAGTTACCTAACAGAGCTCCAAAGTGAATATAAAGATGGAACCAATAGTATCTTGAAGATCTCTTAAAAACAGGTGGCTTCCTCAAGAGGAACTGCCCTAAGAGGCCCCATGGGCCATGTGCTGGATGCAAAGGAGACCACTGGAGATGGGTCTGCCCTCTGAGGTGGAGGCCCCAGAGCTCAGACCCATGCTACCAGTTACTCCAACAGGAATGAGAGGGCTTGGGGCATGGTCTGCCTTCTCCCTCTGGCCAGACCGTCATCTCCATCGAGGAGTCCTGGGTAATCATGACTATGGAGGAACAAGAAAACAGCCTGTTGCTAGACACAGGTGCAAGTCTCTCGGTCCTTCTTTTCAATCCTGGCCTTCTTCCAGACATCATACCTCAGTGAAAGGAGTCACTGGTGAGGAGGTAATATGCTATTTTTTGACAACCCTTAGGCTGTAACTACTTATTAGATCCTTCTTGCGTATCTCTGTCTTCCTGAGAAACCACTTTGAAGATACCACCATGTATTACAGCAGCCATTGATATTTTCCTACTAATCTATTCATAACTGTGTAAAGTTTGTAATGTTCCTATCCTATTTCATAAATGGATGTATGTTTATTATTATGTGTTTCCTACAACAACCATTGAGAATAGTTAATAATTTTTCAATAGGTCACTCATGTATAGCTCTATTTATTTTCTTTTTTTTTTTTTTTTTGGTTTTTCTCTGGTACCGGGAACCGAACTCACAACCTTGCGCTTGCCAGGCAGGCGCTTTTTGCCTCTGAGCTAAATCCCCAGCCCCTCTATTTATTTTCTTTAGAAGCCACTTTGAAGATACCAAAGTATAGCACAACAACTCTTGATAATCTCCTGCCTCTTTTGTCTCTAACTCACTATTATTTGTCTATTTGTTTTCCTGAGAAACTATTTTGTAGATAATAATATGTAAAACGATAACCATTGATAATTTCCTACCATTTTGTGTGTAATTTGCTAAGTCGCCCCTATTATTATGTTATCCTTCTTTTATTCTTTAAAAAAATAAATAAATAAAAAAAAAAACAAATAGGTGGCTTGCCAGGCGAGGTGGTACATGCCTGTAATCCCAGCACTTGGGAGCTGAGGCAGGAGGATTGCTGCAAGTTCGAGACCAGACTGGGCTACAAAGTGAGTTCAAGGCCAGCCTGAACTACATAGTGAAAACCTGTCTCAAGAAAAACCCAAAGCACGTGGCTTATATGTTAATGATGTAAAACTGGACAAAAAAATGCAGCCCTACTTGTTATTCTATTAAAATTTTGTAGCTTTTTATTACATGACTCTTCTGGGTGTTAAAACACTAAGCTTGATCATTATCTTGCATGTTGCTAGCTGCTAAAATTATGAATTACCGAAGCCCAGTTCTTTGTTGATATAGGCACACTATTTCAGTTCACTTTGGTCGTAAATTACCTTAAATTGTAGATTTTATCTAGTTGTAGATATAACTTTATCTTCATGTAATGGTAATCTTGGAACTATGAGAATTTGTCTGAGGAAGTTGACTGTTAAATGTGGGCTTTGATAAAAGCATGTGATACATTTCAGTTACTTTTCAAAATAAACCCCTCTGTAGTAATATTTTCTGTTAAAATATCTTGCTGAATTCCAGAGTTCCAGGTTTCTGTGATACATTTCTTTTTTTTTTTTTTTTTTTTGGTTTTTTGGTTTTTCTCCGGTACCAGGAACCGAACTCACAACCTTGTACTTGCCAGGCAGGCGCTTTTGCCGCTGAGCTAAATCCCCAGCCCCTCTGTGATACATTTCTAACTGCTACACAGGGACAGACTTGAGCTTCTTAATTGTGTACCAGAATTGCTTACAGTAATGTTGGTGGGCTCTTAAGAGACACATTTCTTTTTTAGTCCTTGAGTCTCAAATGCAGAAACACTTTTAAGCCCCCTTTCCAACCAGATTTCTTATTAGTCCCTACAATATCTTAGCAATAGAAAGTATTTTTATTTCTAATTCACAAGCCTCTCTGAAATTTTGGTAATTTTCTAATTATCAGAATTCCTTCTATCATCACTGTGGTTACCTGCTGCGTTCCCCCTCAGCCTTTATCTTTTCTAACTTTTTTGTTAGTATTGGTTCTGTAAATGTGCCTTGTTTAAAGTAGTGTCCCACAGACTTTCATTCCGAAAAACTGTTAGCAGGAGAGAAAGGGCTGTGGTGGCTGCAGCGCTTCTAGGACTTTGGTCTAAGATCAGGCGTGTAAGTAGCGCTCCTGCGTGTATCTAGCGCTCCTGCGTGTATCAGAGCATTCAATTAAACCTAATTCCCATGAATCCATTTCATTGTGGTCATCATCAGAAAGTACCTCTGCTGTGGCTTCTTTTTATAGCTGTTGGAGGCCCCTTGTTTGTTTTGTTTAGCAACTTTAAAATTGCATATTCACTATAGCTTTCGTAAGACTCCATGGACATTGATAGTTCTAAGATATCTAGATGCTAATTTAAAGTGTGATTAAGAATTTGAAGTTGTTAAGCATTACTTATGTTTAGCATGTGATAATTTTTGTGAGCATCTCCACCCCACATTTTTGCCTTTACCAAATGTCTTCTCAGTTTTTGTTCTAAGCAGCTAAGTTGTACTGCAAAAAGTTATTTGAACCATATTTGAAAATGCAGTTGTCGTTTGTATTATTATCATCCTCATCCGGTTCTAGCGACGAGGTTTTGCTGTTCAGTGAGTCCCTACCTGGCAGGTGGTAAAGTCCCACATTTACCAGCCGCCTGGACAGTCACTCTCCTAGCAGTGGCTGCTCACAGGGAGCCAATCTGGACAAAGCTGAAGTGATATTGATGGCTAGGGGACTGTTGAGGGATATTAAAGTTTCTTTTTATAAACTTTAACTTTCTTTTGGCTTTCAAGATTTAACACCAACATTTTGATGTATAGATGTTGCTGGGCTAATATCTCACATGGTGCTCAGCTGCTCACTATATGGAGAGATACATTTGGTGCTGAGGTTTTAAAATCATAGCCAACCATTCAGAGTCTCATATTTACCAATACAAAGTTGATATCCTATTCAGTGATGGTAGTGGCCTGGCATGGTGGTGCACGCCTGTAATCCCAGCACTCAGAAGGCTGAGGCACAGCCGCACAAGTGCCTGCCTGGCAAGCGCAAGGTTCCAAGTTCGATTCCCAGTACAAGAAAAAAAAAGGCTGAGGCAGGAGGATCACCATGAGTTCAAGGCCAGCTTGAGCTACATAGTGAAACCTTGTCTCAAAAAAAAAAAAAAAAAGTTGGTGGCTTCTAACTAAAAGTTAGACTTTAACTTTGTACTTCTGCTGGGTAGTACTGTGCTGTATGTGACAAATGCAAAGTGTTAGGCTCACAAGAAGATCTTCTTTAAGTATTGGAGATCATTTTCCTCACCTGATTTGAATTATGAAGCCTTCAAAATGTATTGCTAAAGCAGTTTCACAAAGTTTATCTGTAGAAATGTGTTGACTTTAAAACTTGGTGGGAAGCCAGGTATGGTGTTGCATGTCTGTAATCCCAGCCTTGGGAGGCTGAGACAGGAGGATCATCATGAATTTGAGGCCAGCCTGAAATACATCGTGAGACCCTGCCTCAAAAAAAAACAACACGTACACACACACACCTAAAAGTTGGTGGGAAGCTTTATTGTAAATTCTAAAGATTTATAAAGACAGAAATCTCCTATTAGATTCTCTCGTTTTTGCCTTTGAACAGTATGATAGAAAAGGGACCTATAAACCTAACAAATATTAATAAGACTTTAGTCCTCTGACAGAAAGTAAATGGTCTGAGAATTAATGCATGGAAGTTTGGTTTTTTAACCTGAACCTAAAGGGCTCACTGATGTAGTTTGAGTCTAGCTCCTCTGTATGTCTATTAATTACATGAGAAGAGCTAATTTTCAGTGTGCAGTTATCTTTCAGCCAGTGTGTATCATTATTAAGAGTTTGGGAACATTATCATTTTAATTGCTGAGATAGTATTGTGCCAGATGACACCGTGATACTTCTTCTGTAACTTCTTAATGTTCAGCCACTGTACAGGGCCTCCGCTGTGGTAGATTTTACCTAGTAGTATATCTTTTACTATATCAATAGACTGTATGCAAATGTCACTTGCAAACAAGGCTTTGTGATAGTTACATTCACTTGTTTATTTCCCCAACAGCTATGCTTTATGGAAGCCAGGCACTGTTTATCAGCTGCTAATGTTATTTTTGGTCAAATTGGAAAGATCCCAGCCACCGAAGAGAGTAAGTTTATGAGTGGATATTTTATTATATAAATTTTTTTAAAAAATAAATTTCAAAATTATTTTAAATGTGCAAAAAGTTGCAAGAACAAAACAAAGAACTACCATATACCTTCTCCTGCGCTCACCAGTGTTCATATTTGCTTAATTTGTGATCACATTTTCTTTCTTTCTGAACCTTTGAGAGAAGACTATACAGTAGGCTCCTTTCTCCTATAATACTGCAGTGTGCATGTCCTAAGAACACGACTGTGTCCTTGCATAATCATAGAACAGCTAGCAAATCAGGAAATGCAACATTGACACAGTTCTTTTATCTTTTGTGCTTAATTTAATTCTCTTCCATATTCTTTATAGCAGTTTTCTTCCAGTACTGGATTAATTCAAGATTGCCTGTTATATTCGTTTGTCACATCTCTTTGGTCTTCTGTCATCTGGAACAGTTCCTCAGCTTTTTTCTCTTTCACCACATAATATTTTTGAAGAATACAGGCCAGTTATTTTATAGAATTTATCAAGTAGGGCTTGTGTGATATTTCCTTTTGCCAAGATTGAGATTATATATTTTTGATTGGAATACTACATGCATGAGTGTGTCCTCAGATCTTTTTCATCACAGTGGACTTCGTTGTTTGTTTGCAGTGCTGGTGACCAAACCCAGAAACACACACATGCTGGGCCACTGCTGTACCACTGAGCTACACCCTCCGCTCTTCATGATAGTGTTTTCTTTAGTCTTAAAAAAAATCAAGGTTATATTCAGTAAATGGATGCATGTCTGTCATTATGTGTTTCCTACAACAACCATTGAGAATAGTTAATGATTATTCAGTAGGTCACTCATGTATAGCTCTATTTATTTTCTTTAGAAGCCACTTTGAAGATAACAAAGTATAGTACAACAACTATTGATAATCTCCTACCTCTTTTGTCTGTAACTCACTATTATTTGTCTATTTGTTTTCCTGAGAAACTATCTTGTAGATAACAATATGTAAAACAATAACCATTGATAATTTCCTGACACTTTGTAATTTGGTAAGCCCCCCATTATTATGTTATCCTTCTTTTACTCTTTAAAATAAAAAAAAAACAAGGTTAACATGTATTTGAGGCATTTAACAGGTTTTGTATCAAATTCACCATTTTCTTTATCTTCTAATTCTATAATTCACTGTTGAGTAGTCTCTAACCTAAAAGGTTTTTGAAACATCATGTTTTCTTTTTGTGTTTTGTTTTGTTTTCTTTTGGGACAGGGTCTCACTATGTAGTTCAGGGTGGCCTTTAACTCATAGAGATCCTTTTGCCTGAGCTTCCCAAGTGCTAGGATTACAGGTGTGCAGTGCCATGCCCAGTGTCAAGATGCAAGTTTGAGTCCAGCCAAGGCAATTTAGTGGCTTAGTGAGATCCTGTCTCAAAATAAAAGAAAAGGGCTAGGAATGTAGCTGGTGCAGAGACCCTGTGTTCAGTCTCCAGTATTGCAAACAAACAGGTAAATGGCATTTGTCTTAAAAATCAATAAAAACCACACTAAAGTATCTTTTTTTTTTTTCCCAGTACCAGGAATCGAACTCACGACCTCATGCTTGCCAGGCAAGCGCTGTGCCGCTGAGATAAATCCCCAGCCCCTTCATTTTGTTTTTATTCTTCAAAATGGAAAGCTCTGGGGGTTGGGGGTTGTTGTTAAGCAACAGATCATTTGCCTAGCGTGTACAAGGTCTGGGTTAGATTCCCTAGGGCTGAGAGAGGAAGAGAGCGGGAGCTGAAGAAAATGACAAGGCCTATTGTTTTCAAAATGTTTTCTGTGAGCATCCTCAAATTTTGTGGATTAGAAAATTTGTTGAAAATAATTTAACACTTGAAGTTGTATAAACTCTTTGACCTCTGGACTCTGTCCTTAGGAGGTAGTCCACAATCCAGGCCCATTTGTGTACTGAGATCTGTATGCTTAGAGTTGGCTATAATAGTAAAGAATGAGAAACAGTAAGTTCCCATACTAGAGGAATCCTTAAACAGATAAATTAAACAGCCATTTAATTGTATATAATGCTTTACTTAGAAATGAAGCTAAAGTGTTGATAGTGATATGGACAAAGTGTTAGTGGTAAATATATGAAGAAAAAGTTATATTCACAATCAAATACACATTGTGACCTTAATTTTTACCTATAGATTTAAAAAAAAAAACTAGAAAGAAATTTGCAAAACCAGTAGCAACTAGTACCTGCATATAGTATTAGGAGTTGGGGTGGGTTTCCCCATCCTACTTCAGTGAACATCAGTTACTTTTGTAATCAGGAAAAAGTGATATTAAAGAAGAACATAGAATACAGAGAGAATTACAGTTGTGACCATGAATTTGGGCAAATCATATGTATGATTTTAGCTCCTGAGGCTGAAGGAGATGTGCCAGAGCTTTATCATCAGCGGAAAGGGGAAATCGCAAGATGCTGGATCAAGTACTGCTTGACGCTCATGCAGAACGCCGAGCTGTCCATGCAGGTGATGAAAGCAAACGTTGCCTTTTCCTGTCTTGGGTGAGCACTGCATGAGCAAAAGCTCTCGGTGGGGACTGTGCTCACCTGGCGCCCTGTGTGTTGGTTTCAGAGGATGTAGAACACACTCATAGATGTTCCTTTTTCGAGATTGCGCCTAGAGCCTGTGCAGGTATCTTAATTCTTTTTGTTCCCATCCCCCTGCCCTTCCATCAACCCATGTTCCCTGACTTAAGTATCATTTCTTCCTTGTAGACTTTGCTTTGGCTAGAATATGAGCTCCTTTTTTTTTTTTGAGACAGTGTCTTGCTGTGTAGTGCAGGCTGGTCGTGAACTCACTGTGTAGCCCAGGCTGACCTCAAACTTGCAGTGATCTTCATGTCTCAGCCTCCCAAGTGCTGGGATTACAGGTGCACACCACCACTCCCAGCTTCAAATATGAGCTCCTTGAGAAGTAGATCTGCCTCAAGTTCATATTACAGCATTGTCTCTGGGCACAGTAGTTTCTCAGGAAATTGAGGACTATATCTGGAGGTGGTGGTACTTGAGGTTGCACCTGGAGCCTGTGCACGTATCTGAATTCTTTTTGTTCCCATTCCCCTGCTCTTCCACCAACCCACCTTCCCCTCCCGATTTACAAAAGATTTGTTTCAATTTTTTCCTTCCCTTTTCTTTTTTTTCCCCTGTTTTCTTTCCTTCCCTTCCCCCTAAAACCCTTTGTTTCCCTTCCCATTTGAACTTTGAGACAGGGCCTCACTGAGTTACCCAGCCTGGGCTTGAAGTTGTGATCCTTCTGCCTCGGCCTCCCAGAATACTGGGATTACTATTTACTTCAGTGGATTGATTGATTGAGACAGGGTCTCACTATGTAGTTCAGACTGGCCTTGAACTCACTATGTGTTGGCCTTAAACTCACCATGCCTGCTATTTATTTATATTTTGCAATACTAGGGATTGAACCCGAGGCATTCAGCCCATGAGAGACATTTTCCCAGTCCTGTTTGTTTGTTTATTTGTTTGTTTGTTTTGAGACAGGGTCTCACTAAATTCTACAGGTGGAATTTGAACTTGTGATGTTCCTGCCTCGGCCTCCTTCAGTGTTGGAATTGCAGTGCAGGCATGTGCTGCCACCACTGCACGGAGTGAATGAGTAATTCTGTATCACCCTGAGACGATAAGTTCCCTAAGTTACAGAGGACTTTTCTTGCCTCTTCCTAAGTTACTTAAATTGTTTTGTATTAATCCACTTGTATTCTTATTCTTTTATCTCCTTTTAGACTAAGCAGTTTGAAGGCAGGATTTTCATATACCTTGCAGCGTTATCTTACACATTGATAAAACCGAAAAGGATAAACTGAAGAAACAGTAGTTCAAGTACAGAAGCAGAGGAGTTTGCAGTGGAGTGTGGGCTCTGGAGACTTCACTGCAGTTGGGTCTGAGCCTGGCTCGGCCGCTTTATAACTGTCTGCTGGTTTTGATCTCTTACTCTCTGTCTCACTCTCCTTACAAGTACAGTGGAGATACAGCCTCTGCTTGACACTTGTTCTGCGAGTTTCATCAGTAGGTGTCAAGACCTCAGGAAGTAACTGAGACAAGGTGGCGCACACCTATAATCCCAGCACTCAGGAGGCTGAGGCAAGATTGCCAGGAGTTCCAGACCAGCCTGGGCTACACACTGAGTTTGAGGCCAGCCTGAACCACATAGCGAGATTCTATCTCAAAAAAAAAAATACAACTAAGTCTCACATTGTAACTCCATTATTATTACTAATCTTACTGAAGCCTCATTCTTAACCACTAAGGAGAAAAAGAAAATAAATTATTTGGATATAATACAGGCAAGATATATAGGAGACTTTACTAGGGGAGTTAGTGTGAGTTTGGTTTTTTCTGGATACATTATAATACAGTAACTTCATAGTAAATAATACAGAACCCGCTGGGGTGGAGCTCAGTAGTGGAGCTCTGCTGAACATGCTGAGGTCCCAGGCTGGATCCCCAGCACCACAAAAACAACAACAACAGCAGAGGAAAGATAAAAGAAAAACTATGCATCCTTGTGATGGTACTAAAAAAAGAGTAGTAAATAAGCAAGTAAACCTAAAGTCCCAGAAGCATAGATCTTAAAATCCAGGACCTGAATCATTTTAGAGAAAAAAAGTAAGGCTGAGGTGTGTCAGGGAAAGAGAGGAAGTAAGTAGGAGAGCTTGGGGCTTTTAAGTCTAGAGAACTGGAGCGAGGAAGAGCAGGCAGCATCCTTCTGGGCAGGCAAGGACGGTGATGGAAAGGGAGGCTTCAGGGACTGGTGGGACAGGAGCTAGGTCATGAGAGAAAGGCCCTAGGGCAGGGCTTCACGGAGTAGGGGTCAAGCAGACCGCACCAGGGCGCAACTCTTAGCCTTCCTTAGTTGCTGTTTCCAGCCTAGGGACTGGAACCTTATTTGATCATTTGAAACTCAAATACTAAAGTGTTTAAACTACTAAGTTACTCAGATTTTCCTTAAACTGAATGGTTTTTTGTTTTTTGGTAATGGAAATCGAACTCAGGACCTAACACTTGCCAGGCAGGTGCTGTGCCGCTGAGCTTTGTCACCAGCCCTTTAAACTGATTTTTTAAAGAACTTCACTTCACCCTTTGATTATATATGTATTTATCAAAAAGCTTTCTTCAGTTTAGGCTTTAAAATATACCCCAATTTATTCAGTGAAGCACTGTCTTTTTTTTTTTTTTTTTTTTTTTTTGGCTTTTTGAGACAGGGTCTTACTATGCAGTTCAGGCTGGCCTTGAGCTCACTTTGTAACCCAGGTTGGTCTTAAACTCTCAACCATCCTCCTGCCTCAGCCTCCCAAGTGCTGGGATTACAGGCAGTGTGCCACCACACCCCACTCAGTTAAGCATTTTCTTATGCCAACCCTGTGCTAGTCATTGTCCAAGGTTCGAAGTTTACCACGATGAACAAGTACAGATGTAGCCTTGACCAGGCACAGCAGTGCACTCCTGTAATCCAGCACTCTGGCAGGCTGAGGCAGGAAGATGGCTGTTTTGAGCCCAGCCTGGGCTACATAGTTCAAGGCCAGCCTGAAATACATAACAAAAAAAGAAAGAAAAGAAAAAAGAGTAACTGTAAATGAACTTGAGTCCAGAGAGGATAAATAATATATAAGTGTTTTTATGTGTTTTACTTTTTCAAATTCTTTTTTCACATTTGTTGAATTTTTAATATACTTGGAAGAAAAAAAATTTCAAAGGTGTTCAGATTATAACACCTCCAGCAGGCCGAGGATCTACTTCAATGGTAGAGCACTTGCCTCATGTGCCCCAGGTCCTGGATTTGATCCTTGACACTGGAGATACAAGTGAACACTTTGCTCAGGTGGGCTGGGAAGTAAGAGCGTTTTGCTTACTGCAGAGTTTTATTCAACAGCAGGAGCTAAGTGTCCTACTTAACCCTAAGGTATGTTTTTCTTTCAGGACAACATAGGGGAGCTGGATCTTGACAAACAGTCTGAACTTAGAGCTTTAAGGAAAAAAGAACTCGATGAGGAAGAAAGCATCAGGAAGAAGGCTGTGCAGTTTGGAGCGGGTGAACTCTGTGACGCCATCTCTGCAGTGGAAGAGAAAGTGAGATACTTGAGGCCTTTAGATTTTGATGAAGCCAGGGAACTTTTCCTACTGGGTCAGCACTATGTCTCTGAGGCCAAGGAGTTCTTCCAGATTGATGGGTATGTCACTGACCACATTGAAGTTGTCCAGGACCACAGCTCTCTGTTCAAGGTGCTCGCATTCTTTGAAACTGATATGGAAAGACGGTGCAAGATGCATAAGCGTAGAATAGCCATGCTAGAGCCCCTCACTGTGGACCTGAACCCACAGTATTATCTCTTGGTCAACAGACAAATTCAGTTTGAGATTGCACACGCTTACTATGACATGATGGATTTGAAGGTTGCTATTGCCGACAAGCTCAGGGACCCTGATTCACACATCGTAAAGAAAATTAATAACCTTAATAAGTCAGCACTGAAGTACTACCAGCTCTTCCTAGACTCCCTGAGAGACCCAAATAAAGTATTTCCTGAGCACATAGGGGAGGATGTTCTTCGCCCTGCCATGTTAGCTAAGTTCCGAGTTGCTCGTCTCTATGGCAAAATCATCACTGCAGATCCCAAGAAGGAGCTAGAAAATTTGGCAACATCATTGGAACATTACAAGTTTATTGTTGATTACTGTGAAAAGCACCCTGAGGCTGCCCAGGAAATAGAAGTTGAGCTAGAACTTAGTAAAGAGATGGTTAGTCTTCTTCCAACAAAAATGGAGAGATTCAGAACCAAGATGGCCCAGACTTAATCCTTGTTCTTAAAGAAAGTAAATGTGCAATACTGAGTGAGTTTTCCCCCATAAACACGCCTAGCTCTACTGTGACTTTGACATCCAGAGCCAGATGAATGCAGTTTGAGCTTGAGATCTGGTCAGATTACCTGAATCTGCTGGGCCCCGATGCAGCCCAGCTCATTAATCTACATCTAGTTATGTAAACTGCCTTGTTAAAGTGGCATGTGATCTCTATTTTAGATTGCTTGTTTCCTATGTAAGTACTGTATAAACATTTCCTGCCTCAGTCTATTGGCTACTACTTGGTAGATTTCCTTCCAAGGAAAAATGCTGGGTAATGTACCTGGTAGACAGCTTGTTACTGCATTACATTTGAAAAAATCTTCCTATAGTTATTCTTTCTACAATACTTAACTTTCCTAAATTCCCAAAGAAATATTTCCCTTTTGAAAATACTAAAAACTAAGTTATATTGTAAAGTGAGATAAAATAGTTTGTCTCAGTTATAAGGGGAAAAAATCCTTGGAAATATAATAAAATTGAGTTGTTTCAACTAGTAAAAATTCCATTTTTCTCTTTTATTTTGTTACAAAACTGGATTTTTATTTTTTTAAGGAGAATATTTCTTTAGTAACATGGCGCAGTTAGAAGACATTAAAATACCTTTCACTGAATAAATTCTTATTCAGCTAATACTGTGTGCCAGAAAATCTCACTGGCTGCAGCTTGTCATCAGAGGCTTCTGCTGTATTTATAAATTTTAAGCACAGTTGTAAAATGATATTATGTCGTAAACATTGTTAATGTTTTTTAACAAATGTGGCTTATCCCTCGTCAACACACAGTGTTGGTTGCGAAGCTGAATGTGGAGAATAGCTCTGCACTGGTTTGCCTGTTCATTTCTGAAAGCCTAGGACTAGGTCACCGCTAAGATTCAGTACCATTTATATGCATGTGCACACACACAACATACACAGCATGCGTGCACACACTTAAACATTTGTGTGTACATGCGTGATAAGCACCTTCTTCTCCCTTGAGATGAGTTTGGCAAGAAAAGAATCTTTGTAACAGTCATCAATGTGTGATTCACTCGGTATTTAACATTTATTAAAGTTGCCTGTGGGTCAGGCACTGGCCTCACTTTTCTTTTGGAACTAGGACTTGAGAACTTAGGACCTCACGCTTGCCAGGCAGGTGCCATGCTGCTGAGCTATACTCCCAGCCCCTGATTTCACTTTTCTTTTTTTTTTTTTTGGAACTAGGGACTCCCTGTGCAGTTCCAGCTGGGCTTGAACTCACTTTCTAGCCCAGATTGGTGTTGAACTGAAGGTGATCCTCCTGCCTCAGCTTCCTGATTGCTGGGATCACAGGTGTGCTCACCACACCTGGCTGATTTTGCTTTTCTAAGCATAGAGGATACAGAGATGAACAGGAAAACAAGGTCCTGCTCCAATGGACCAAGTAAACAAATACGATGATTTCCTAAGTGCTGTTAAGGAAAAACAAATGATATGTTGACCATTTATGGGAAGGGCATAGTCCCCGCTCTGGTGACCTGGAGAGGCCTTTGAGAACGTGAAAGGTGGCCCCCAGGGAGAGTGGGCAGGAACGAGCCTGGGGAGGAGCCTGGATGCCGGCGTGGCCGGAGCAGCCAGGCAAAGAGGAGGGTGCGCCCTGAGAGCTGAGTGACGGGCTGCGGAGGGGGCTGAGGACTCTGGATTTTCTTCCAGGTGCAGTGGGAAGTTGGTGAGATGTTAATGTGATCTGCTTAGAATTTTTAAGAAACAACTCTGGGTCTGAGGGAGAATAAACTGAAGGGGAACAGGCCAGCAGGGAGACAAGGTTAGTCCAGTTGAGAGGCAGAACCATAGGCATGCTGAAGGGTTCTATGTAGGCATGAGGGAAGGGGATCAGGAGCTGTATGGAGTTAAAGTGGGCAGGCAAGCATTTTTTTGGGAGACAGGAAGTTGGAATCAGGAATTCTGTTTAGGTCGTCTTGAGGTTAGGATGTCAAGGTTAAGGTGAGGTGACTGCTACTCAGTAAAATTCTTTCAGCAGACTGAGGAGCAAGAGGGGAGGGAACTTTGCTGAGAATAGCGATGTCACTGCATCTCAGCTAATCTCATCTCTGCAGCCATCTGCTTTTTGAGACAGGATTTCACTGTGTAGTTCAGGCTGGCCTTGAACTCTGTAGCCCAGGCTGGCCTCAAACTTGCAGTGACCCTTCGGCCTCAGCCTCCCAAATACTGGGATAACAGGCATCACCATCACACCTGGCCACTTTCTTTTCTTTTTACTGTTTGGTACTTGGAATTGAACTCAGGACCTTGCTCTTGCTAGGCAGACGCTATGCCGCTGAGCTACATCCCCAGCCCCTGGCCACTTCCTTGATGTAGCCATTTTTCTCCCAACTTTGTGCAACTATGTAACTTCAACTGCATATTCATTCATCTTTCTTCCTCTCCTCCCTTCCTCCCTCCTTCCCTCCCCATCCTCCCGGCTCAGGCCTCCCAGACAGCTGGGATTACAAGTGTGTGCCACTATGCCTGGCTTCATTTTTTGCTTAATAGCTGTTTACCAAGCTCTTTCTGTGCCATAAGCTTTGAGAGCACAATCTCTAGGACCCAGTGTCATAAATCTTAAGCTGCTTTCTACCTGTTGAACCTGACTTCACAAGGGATAATTCAAGTATAGCAAGCACAACCCTACAGCCAGTCTTTATCCCAGTGGCCATCAGCACACTCTGCTGTTTGTCACTTAGTGCCCACAGTGCCCAGACTTTTAAGACTTTGCCTTCGCTTGTCAGAAAATCTCGCTGCCTGCTTGCCGCCCTGGCCTCTGTGCACATACCCTGTTCCTTACACACCACTTCCACATCTGCATTCTGAGGTTTCATTTCTTCTCTAGCCAAGTGCTTCTCAGACTTCCTGCTTTCAGGCCTCTTTGCACTTAACATTGTAGAGGACCAAAGGGTTTTTCTTTAGGAGGGTTTTATCTTCCTATTTTAACCCAGTTTGAGGTTCAGATATTTTAGTTGGGCGAAGTGGCACACACCTGAAATCCCAGCACTCAGGAGGCTGAGGCAGGAGGATTGTGACTAGTTTGAGGCCAGCCTGGGCTACATAGTGAGTTCAAGACAGGCTGAATGACATAGTAAGACCTTGTCTCAAAGAAAAAAAAAGAAATTTTAACAATTTATCTAAAAATGACAAACCCATTGCATTTAAACATAACCTTTTATGAAAATACTTATGGCATATTTTGTTTTTGGAGAGTTGTTTGTGATAGGTTCTCACTATGTAGCTCAGCCTAGCCTCAAACTTAATGATCCTCCTGCCTCAGCTTCCTGAGTGCTGGGGTTCTAGGTGTGCATTACGTGCCTGGCTCCAGATTTTTTTTTTTTTTCTTGCAAATATTTTTGACATCTGAATTCATACGAAACAGTCTGATTCTTGTAGTTATATGTCATACAACTTTTGGAAAACTCCACTGCACGTTTGCGAGTGAAGGGGACTGAAGAAAGTATTGTCTTACATGGAATTCCTTTGCTGCGACTCCGCCCACTGCTGCCCGAGGTTCCCCGGAGCACAGCCTGAGAACCGCTGCAGTGCCCTGTTCTGTGTGGGGCAGGGCCCAGAGCTGGGATGTCCAGGGTTGTCTGGGAAACTTCAGAGGTGGTGGCGGTGGTCTGGGTTTCACAGCCTAAGGAGAAACCCCGCCCTTGCACTGCTTAGTGTGCGCCGTTTGGGTTGAGTCTGGACTCATGGCAGTATCATGTTTTTGTTTTTTTTGTTTTTTTTTTTTTTTGGTTTTTCTCCGGTACCGGGAACCGAACTCACGACCTTGCGCTTGCCAGGCAGGCACTTTGCCGCTGAGCTAAATCCCCAGCCCCTGTTTTTGTTGTTATTCTGCCATATATGTCGGAGTTCTTGGCAGTACTGGATTCTTTGGCAGTTTTATCTGCCTGAGCTGCCGTATGTGTGTGTTGCATTATTGCTTTCATCTCTGTCACGGGGGAGTCGCTGACAGATGACAAGGGCTCTGTCACTGAGACAACTGGTTCATATTCTGTCCTAATTTTGTAAATCTCACATGAAACACTTAATGCCCAGAACCCTTAGAAGTGTTGGCAGCACGACAGGATTTTGGCCAGAGCTAATGACCTGTCTGAGACACAGAGTGACCTTTTGTTTTCTTTCCCCCGCCCCTAAAGCCAAAGACTTTATGCTGAGTTAATAAAAACGCTTCTTTGTCCCAAAAAACTTTGTAATTTCTTTTTTTTTTTTTTTTTTTTCCGGTACCGGGAACCAAACTCACGACCTTGCACTTGCCAGGCAGGCGCTGTGCCGCTGAGCTAAATCCCCAGCCCCTGTAATTTCTTTTTTTCCTTTCCTTTTCTATCTTTGTTCCCCTTGGTACTAGGGATTGAACCCAGGGCCTTTGAACTGAGCTACGTATCTCCCCCTGTCCCGCTTTGAGACAGGGTCTCATTAAGTTGCCCAGGCTGGGCTCGATCTTGCTCTCCTCCTGCCTCAGCCTCCTGAGTCTCCTGAGTGCTGGAATTACAGGCGGGCGCCACCACTACCATGCCTTATTGTGATTTCCTTCTTTTTTTTTTTTTTTTTTTTGGTTTTTGGTTTTTGGTTTCTTTCCCGGGCCAGGAATCGAACTTACTACCTTGCGCTTGCCAGGCGGGTGCTGTGCCATTGAACTAAATCCGCAGCCCCTGTGATTTCCTTCTTAATCTTGCTAGATTTAGACAACTAATGGGCTAAAGGCATCATTCATTTGTTTACTATGTATACTTACTTATTCACTTAATCAACAGTATTCATTGAATGCCTGTTGCCGGAAGATTGCACATCACCTACAGAGATCTGAGGAAAACGTTAAAAATTTTCTATGGATTTGAAGGCCTTCCAGATTGCATAGGCTGTATCAGGGAAATCATTGAGAATAGATTTGGGGCTGGGATTATAGGCATACACTACCGTGCCTGGCCACTCGATTTTGTTACTTGAAAGCGTGGGCTAGGAAAAAATATTAAGAAAGCAACCAGGAGCTCTGCAGGGGAAATGCCATCGAGATCACAGCTCACAGAATCTCGCCCCATGAGCTGTGTTATCCAAGCAGCCTTTGAGCCAGTAACCTTTTTCTTAGGAAGGTCATGATGCACTATTAATGTTTCTTATCTACAGAAAATGGTGAGGTAGCCTAATACAGGCTTTGTGTGAAAACAGGGTTTAAAAACGCACTTAAGAAACAAACCTGAGAACATGCAGGAAGATGGCGAGCTGCCGAATGTTCGTGAGGCACTGCAGCCAAGGCCCAGCTCTCCAGCACAGAGCTCTTCCCCACTTCCTTCTGAGTTATCTCACTCACTTTTTCTTCATGGTTATCTTCATCACTCTGCCTTTCCTGTTACCATGCGAAGTCAGGTTTTGCTATCAGAAGACTCATCACTAGCTGCAGTCATCTGTCGTCTTGTGTGGATGACTTTTACATTCTTCATGTTCACCCAAAAGCTATTGCTTGGCCAGGTGGGCATGGTGGTACAGGC